GTTCAACATTTTACAGAAACCAGAGCCAAACATGCAGTCGTGCATCTTTCAGCAGCTCCGAGCAGCTCAGCAGTAAAACATGCTGCAGATGCTCCAACACAGGAAGCAGCTTTCAGGACTAAACGAACGATTTGAGGAGCTGCAGCCGCCAGACGAACGCGTTTCCTTCGTCCTGGTCGTCGGTAAACTCTCGTCTTGGTTTTTCTTTTAAGGTCGGTGCGTTAATGGAGTTTTAAAAATAGCATCAATCTGCTGCGGGGCTCCTCTGGAGTGAGAACCAGAACGAGCTGCAGCCTCCACGTATCCCTCAAAGACGTCTAAGTGGAAAAGTTGCACGTCTCCAAAAGGAAAGCAGACGGACTGGATTCAGATTCAGGAGATTCAAGAAGACCTGAGCAGCGTCGTCATAAAGAAGCTCTGGAGGATCTGTGTTGTTTTTTTTTCCTTCCACTGGGGAACAGAAAGTGTTTTTCCTCCCACATGTTGGGAGCGTTTCACGTGGGCGACGCTGCAGAGGTCAACGTCCTCAGAGAGCTCGGATCAGATTCAGCCGAGTGACGGACGGCTTCCATTCCTCACGCATCTCCGTCTTTCTTCCTGCTTCCCTCTGTTTCCCTCCATCCTTCAGTTCCTCTCTTTTATTATTTACTACAACACTTCTTCCCACATTCAACCACTTTCTCAGCGACTGCTGCAGGAGCTGGCATCAGACCGGGTTAGAAAACCTATATCCTCCAGAGTCAGAAGTCCTAAAATCCTAAATGATTCCACACCATCATCACACATCTCAGCTCCCACTGGATGGATCTGCACCACCGTCAGGTCTAACTTTTAGTTTTCCAGCCCGTCTCATCCGTCTCAGCTGTCCTAAACGTAATGACTACAAACCTTCCTGCACCAGTAGTTTTATTGAAGATGCTCCCAGTAAACCTTCACCCGCCAGTGATGACGGATTACCGCAAAAAAATGTATTTAGTTCTCCGTGTGGTAGAATTATATTATTAATACTTGAAATTTAGCTCTAAACATCCTGAGACGATCCTGTATTTGTTGGTAAACTGACCACTAGTTTATCTCTAGAGCCTAAATGTTCATTGTGGAGGTTAAATCTTATATTTTAGTTTGTTTTTTGGGGCTTTTGTGTGCAGATCTTTCACATTTCAATACAATGTGTATGAATATATTCACATATCCACATGTAGATCACTCCCGCCTCGTCCGTTGTCTTTATGAAACTGTTATTATATCTTAGTTTTTAGCTTTAGCCTGTGTTTACTGTACTTAATCCTACATTAGGGGAATTTGCAGAGTGACAGCAGCAATGAGGAGAGTGCAAAATAGTAGGAAAAGAAATTAGAAAACATATAAATTTAAAAAAATAACAAGAAATATAAGTAGGGATTTGACTGTTGCATCAATCCCTCTGAATGTGGAAATAAAAGTGTTTCTCGATCCTACATGTAGAAAAATACTAATTAATTCTAATTCTTTCATAAGTAGAAAATAAAACTACTGATATTGTACAAGTTGGTTAATTAATAATTCAAGCAAAAATCATTGAAAACTTGGCAGAGAGGCAGAGTTTTGGAGCAGATCTACAACCACAGATGCATCCAGGTGTTTTTTGTTTCTTGAACTTTGCAAAATGGAGCATTTTTGACCACATTGTGCAAAAACTAACATCTCATAGGATTTGGTGGAAATGTGAAGCAGAGGCACCGAGGAGTTATAAAACTTTGGTGTGGATCAGGATCAGCTTCACAACGATGATAGAAAGTGTGAGTTAGGAGTTTGTTCTCTCCTTCTCACTCCTCCCATCTCTTTAATGTTTTAAGAATTGTCCTTTTCCTGCTCCTACATCGACTCTCCGGTAGTGTCATCATTCAGCTGGATGTACTCTCCTTCCCGTCTGTTTTTATATCATAAATCTCGTTCCTCCGTCCCTCCACCGTTCCCGTCTTTGTTTCGTCCATCAGCCACCGGCAACATGACGACTGGATGTTGGACGAACTCTTCAGTGAACTTCAGCGCCGGCAGACGGTCGGCGTGACCCGGCAGGGAGCCGGAGGACGGATCGATTTCAGCCGACTAATGGAGGATTTGGCTGGAGACCGAGGAACAGAGGAAGCTTAAATCAGAGACGCTTCCTCGGCTCCAGCGGACGGTTTGTATCCGTCCTCAGTGGAACGCCGGTGAAACCAAACACAGCAGATACGGATACGAGGTGATGCAACGAGCTTCTAGCAGCAACGTTGGAGCGCCTCGTCTGAAACAACCTGGAGCATGATGAAGTCAGAGGATCTTCACCCCGTTTCTGTGTCTGTAGCTGGTTTGCACGTTAAAAACAACTAAAATAAACAACGTTATTAAGGTTAAACGACGGTTTTGTGGAAACCATCCACAGCGCTGACATGTTAGAGTGACAACGAACCAAACGGACAAACTTCTGCGTCATTGTGCGTCTGTGTTTAGGCGTCGTAACAGCAAGGCAACACTGCCACCGTGAGGTCAATCTGGGAACTACAACTCTGGCGTCTTTGACTGCATTTACATGAAGCGGGTTATGATCGGGATTTTGCAATTTTTGCGGTTGAACGTTATTTCAGAAACCTGCAACCTGTTAGCTAGGCTCATGTCAGTAAATCTTACTTGTTTTGGTTCCATCAAACAAATTCAGCACAACTCAAGCTCAGTTCGTCTGGAAACGAGCCTGGATCAGGGCAGGTTAACTCTCAGATTAAGCCTGACTCTGATATACTGCCATATTATTTGACCTTTTAAAACCAGTATCAGCCACAAAAATAGCTAAATGAATAGCACAATGATAAATTAAACGATGCAGACCTACACATATGGATGATCACATTTCTGTGTGGTTTATGCAAATTTCCTGACTATCAACAAATCCAGCATCATACCTGGAATATTTTTCTAACTGTTCAAAGCTCAGGAAGATAAAATTGTCATAAAAATTCACAAAAAGTTATAAAGCAAAATGTTATAGAGTATGTTTTTCTTCCTTCTCGTCCCACTAAACTAATCTCATCAGATTTGTGCTGTAACACCTGCACAAACAGAACCCACCAATCAGCAACCAGGACACTCGTATTAATCACGTCGTTCTCCAGATGAACGCACTTTTAACATTTTGGCTTGAGAACACTGAAGGAAGGAGGACAGGTAGGACAGGTAGACGATACAGTCCACGAGGTGAAACGGTGCCGCGGTTGCCGCGGTGACTGACCTGCCGGCGGTGGGCCGCGATAGGCTGAGCCGCTCGATGACGGGCAGGTAGAGCGAGTCGGGCATCTTCTCGCTGCGACACGCCTCGATGCTTAGGTACTTGAATATGTGGACTTTACCCTTTATGCAGATCTGAAAGAAGAGAAAAGAAAGACTCAGATCAGGACGGTGCCAAAGACCAAACGGGTTCTCATTGGATACAGACATCAACCAGACTCACAAAAACTCTTCTTTTGGTTTTATTCTACAGGCTGCTACATCCAGCTTTATACTGGCTGTTGTGATACCGATCGGAGACAAAAACATGGCACCATGATAGCAGCAGGTATCGTATTAACTCAGAGAGGAAGAAGACATCACTCCAGAAGAAACATAAAAAACCCAGATTACAGTTTGTAGATGCACACAGGGACAAAGAGCTTCATCAGTGGAGACATGTCCTGTG